TTTATTGGGGTGAACTTCCAGCAAGCATGATTCCAGTTTCCTTCCTTAGTATCCTCCTTCCCAGCTCTGACACCACAAAGCCTTACACCTGTGTCCCTGTTCCCATTCCTGCCCTTAGCCAAACATGATTCCAACTTCCTTACTCCCATTCCCTGTTCCCATTTCCCCCTTTAGCAAAACATGATTCCAATTTTCTTACCCCCATTCCCTGTTCCCATCTCACATGCCCACCCCCACCCACACCCGCCCACTCACTTCCTCATTGACTACAGACTATATAGTAAAACTTGAGTTCTGCTTAGCTATACGTTAACCAATCATTTTCCTGAAATTTAACTAACCAATCCTAACATATTGTAACATGATTATGTAACCAATTATATCCCACCACCTCAATTAGTTTACACCCAGCAAAATTAATTATACAGCAGACAGGAACAATCACAGAACCAGACAGAGATTATACAGACAAACAATAGCAAAGTGGGAACTATAATGACAAAACAATACAGAAGTGAGGATTTCACATCCCAGCTATTGATAAGTGAGTTCTTGCCAGACAGGATGCTATCAAACTAAGTTTCCTTTTACATTTTCTAGGCACTTCCCTTTCTCTGGCCTGATAGTGCCTAACAGCCCAATCGCACCTTATTTCAATGTGACTAGTTTGGAATGTGAGGATGTGACCGTTCGCTTCCCAGCTTATGGCTGCCTCTGCTGCTTAGCCAAAGGCCTAAGCCTAAGCACAGGCCACAAACTGTCACAGTAAGAGAAGGCCCTTACACTGGCAGACAGTGGTTTTGATTCTTTCTTTTATACCTCTATCACTAGCCAAGTGATAAGAATACACCTAAATTCTTAGAGTATAGGCCTTTACAGACAGGCCTGAATATCTATATCCTAACATTTAATAGAAAACATAGAAAGGTAGGAATGGAAGGGACCTCAAGAGGTCACTTAGGCCAGGCCCACTGCTGAGGTAGGACTGAGGAAACCTAGACCATCACTGACAGGTGTTTATCTAAACTGTTCTTTAAAACATGCAGTTATGGGCATTCCACAATCTCCCTTGGTAACCTGTTCCAGAGCTAAGCTAGCCATAGACTTAGAAACTTTTTCCTAATATCCAACTGAAATTGCCCTTGCTGCAAATTAAGCCAATTCCTTCTCATCCTGCCCTTGGTGAATGTGGTGAGTAATTGATCACCTTCTGTCATAAATATAAAGGGAAGGGTAAACCCCTTTGAAATCCCTCCTGGCCAGGGGAAAGCTCCTTTCACCTGTAAAGGGTTAAGAAGCTAAAGGTAACCTCGCTGGCACCTGACCAAAATGACCAATGAGGAGACAAGATACTTTCAAAAGCTGGGAGGAGGGAGACAAACAAAGGGTTTGGGTCTGTCTGTGTGCTTCTTGCCAGGGACAGAACAGGAATGGAGTCTTAGAACTTTTAGTAAGTAATCTAGCTAGGTATGTGTTAGATTATGATTTCTTTAAATGGCTGAGAAAAGAATTGTGCTGAATAGAATAACTATTTCTGTCTGTGTATCTTTTTTGTAACTTAAGGTTTTGCCTAGAGGGGTTCTCTATGTTTTTGAATCTAATTACCCTGTAAGATATCTACCATCCTGATTTTACAGGGGGGATTTCTTTATTTCTATTTACTTCTATTTTTTATTAAAAGTCTTCTTGTAAAAACTGAATGCTTTTTCATTGTTCTCAGATCCAAGGGTTTGGGTCTGTGGTCACCTATGCAAATTGGTGAGGCTTTTTATCCAACATTTCCCAGGAAAGGGGGGGTGCAAGTGTTGGGAGGATTGTTCATTGTTCTTAAGATCCAAGGGTCTGGGTCTGTAGTCACCTAGGCAAATTGGTGAGGCTTTTTACCAAACCTTGTCCAGGAAGTGGGGTGCAAGGTTTTGGGAAGTATTTTGGGGGGAAAGACGCGTCCAAACAGCTCTTCCCCAGTAACCAGTATTAGTTTGGTGGTGGTAGCGGCCATTCCAAGGATAACGGGTGTAATATTTTGTACCTTGGGGAAGTTTTGACCTAAGCTGGTAAAGATAAGCTTAGGAGGTTTTTCATGCAGGTCCCCACATCTGTACCCTAGAGTTCAGAGTGGGGGAGGAACCTTGACACCTTCATCTTTATAACAATCTTTTACTACAAACTGAAGCTCTGAACAAAGGACTGAATGACCCATCCAAGCTGTGGATGTGTTCCAGAGGGACTTTCAAGCCAGCAAACTCACCAATACTGCTAAGAACTTGATACATGGACTTTGAATCTTTGTATGTATGTGAGTGTTGTATCATTTAACAGCTCGCTTCTTGTTCTTTCTTTTTTCTTTGTAACAAACCTTTAGTTTTAGGCACTAAAGGATTGGCTGGCAGCGTGGTATTCTGGGTAAAATCCAAACCTATATTGACCTGGTAACATGGCTGACTCTTTGGGGGTCAGAAGAACATTTTGTATATGTGAGCAGAGTTTTTTAAATAACTTCTCACTGTGCTGGACCTATGTGCTGACTGGGAGCCAGAGAACTGGAATGCAATAGAGGGGGCTATGTGATTTCTTTTTTTGCTTCTTGATAACTAGTGTGGGGGATCAGAAGCACAATTTGTGACTCATTGGGGAGTTTAACTTCAGTGTTATCCACCAGTCTTGGGAGTATCTGGTCTTCCTTCTGTAGTCTGCCCTGCCCTTGGCATTTCCAGTGATGGCTGGAACACCGGGTCACACTGACTATTTTCTAGCTTGGACATGCCCAGCTCTTTCAACCTTTTCTCATCGGTCATGTTTTCCAAACTTCATAGAATCATAGACTTTAAGGTCAGAAGGGACCATTATGATCATGTAGTCTAACCTCCTGCACAACGCAGGTCATGGAATCTCACCCACCAACTCCTGTAACAAACCCCTAACTTATGTCTGAGCTATTGAAGACCTCAAATCGTGGTTTAAAGACTTCAAGGTGCAGAGAATCCTCCAGCAAGTGACCCGTGCCCCACGCTGCAGAGGAAGGCAAAAAACCCCCAGGGCCTCTTCCAAGCTGCCCTGGGGGAAAATTCCTTCCTGACCCCAAATAAGGTGATCAGCTAAAACCCTGAGCATGTGGACAAGACTCACCAACCAGACACCCAGGAAAGAATTCTCTTTAGTAACTCAGATCCCACCCCATCTAACATCCATCACAGGCCATTGGGCATATCTATGGCTAGTAGTCAAAGATCAATTAATTGCCCAAATTAGGCTATCCCATCATATCATCTCCTCCATAAACTTAACAAGCTTTGTCTTTGTCATATTTGTTGCTTTCCTCTGGAGTCTCTCAGATTGGTCTCATTTTCTGTAAAGTGTGACATGGGACACAATACTCCAGCTGAGACCTCACCAGTGCTGAGTGGAGTGGAACAGCTGCCTCCTGTCTCTCACACATGACACTGCTGTTAATACACCCCAGCATGGTATTTACCTTTTTTGCCACACCATCACACTCTTGACTCATATTCCATTTGTGATCCCCTATAACCCCCTAATCCTTTACTTCAGTACTGCTGCCTAGTGTGCTAGTCCGCATTTTGCATTTGTGCTTTAGATTTTTTTCCTTCCCAAGTATAGCATTTTGCACTTCATTGAATTTTATCTTCTTGATTTCTGACCATTACTCCCATTTATCAACATCATTTTAATCCTGTCCTCCAAAGTGCCTGCAGCTCCTCCATGCTTGGTGTCATCTGCAAATTTTATTGTCATACGTTCATCCAAGTCATTCATGAAAATATTGAATAGAACCAGACCCAGGACGGACCCCTGTGAGACTCCACTGGATATATCCTCCCAGTCTGACAGTGATAAGTATTCTTTGAAAACAGTCTTTCAACCAGTTATGCACACACCTTACGGTAATTTCATTTAGCTCCTATTTCCCTAGTTTGATGGTGAGGCAACCATGAAAGACTGTATCAAAAGCTGTAATAAAATCAAGGTATTTCACATCTACTGTTTCCCGCCCCCCTCCATTAGGCCAGTAATTCTCTCAAAGAGGAAATTTGACACAGAGATGACCTGTTCCTGCTGACCGTGTGTGTGCAGGGGGCACAATTTAAAGGTTCATCTACCCCGTAACTACTTGAGTTGCTCCCCTCCCACTGATAGTCCTCTCCCTTATCCTCAGTTTCCCCTCCTGTAAAGCAGCACCCCTCCCCAGCCCCAGCTGTTGCTCCTGCTTCTTTGTAGTGCACAGCTCACAGCTCGCTGGCTCTTGCAGCTGCCGCACAGGGAGGGGACCTGGCCGCACCATGTGACCGAGCAAGGCTGGCAAACCCTGGCAGAAATCAGGGGGGCATGTGACCCCTTGTGCCCCCCATGTGTTGCCTCTGGCTTGACATGATTTGTTCTTAAAAATCCATGCTGGCTCTCACTTATCACCTAGGTTTGATGACTATTGTAAATTATAGAGAAAAAAACCACAAGAATTTCCTAATTAGCATGTAAGAAATCCAAACATGTTAATTTGTGGAATTACACAAATAGGGCACCCATATAACCTTAAATCTGACCTATCACAGAGTTTTCCAACTTCCCAGAGTGTCAAAACTCAGGGAAATATTATGCACATGCTCTATTTGAATAATTGTATTTATTTTATACAATTAACAGTCATTCCCCTTTGTCTTCCCCACATTATTTCTTTAACTCAAAGTTTCTCCAACAGCAGACTATAAAGTGGAGTTAATGTTCAGACCACATGTCAGTAATTTGGGGATAAATATATTACAAGGATGTTGTAATTTTTTCCAAAAGGACATAGGATAATCACCATTATAATTAAACAAAATCCAAACATCTTACAATCAGAAATGACAGTTGGGTTCCCAAATAACCTTAACTCTGCCCTGCAGTGACATCACTAAGGGGAAATTGGAAAAAAAAGTACTGTTCTTAAAAAAAATTGTGTCAACAAAGACTAAAATGTTTTTATTGTAATTTTTTTTTGGTTTTCATTTAATTTGTGTCCTTTTAGGGAAGCGTTTTCTGTTCAGGAATTTCCTTAGTGCTGTTTTCACCTCCTCATTTCTCAGGGTGTAGATCAGGGGGTTCAGAACTGGGGTGACGATGCTGTACATGAGGGTGGGTATCATGTCTCTTTCAGAGGGGAAACCCGGTGAGGAAATCATGTAGTTGCTAAGGCCTGGCATATAGAATAGCAACACCACGGTGAGGTGGGATGCGCAGGTGCAGAAGGCCTTTCTCCTACTTTCCCGCAAGTGGACTTTCAGGAGGAGGAAGGAGATGATGTAGATGTAGGAGAAGAGCGTGAGGATGAAGGAACTCAAACCGAGGACCCCAGCATTGATGTTGAGTACGGTCAGGTTGAGGTGGGTGCTGCCGCAGGCAAGGCTCAGCAGGGGCTTGATATCACAGAAGAAGTGGGGGACGAGGTTGGAGCCGCAGAATTGCAGCCGGGAGGTCATGACTGTGGACATTAGGGCATGCAGGAAGCCGATGGACCAGATGGCCACTGCCAGGAGCAGGCAGGTCTGTGGGCTCATGACCAGCTTGTAGCGCAGCGGGTTGCAAATGGCCACGTAGCGGTCATAGACCATGACGGCCAGCAGCACAGCCTCGCTGCTGCCCAGGAGGTGGAAAAAGTGGAGCTGGGCCAGGCAGCCAGCAAAGGAGATGGTCTGGTGCTCAGACAGGAAACCAGACAGCATCTTTGGCACAGTGACTGTGGAAAAGCAGATGTCCAGGCTGGAGAGGTTGCCCAGAAAGAAGTACATGGGGGTGTGGAGCCGGGGCTCAACCACTACCATGGTTATGATGGCCCCGTTACCCAGCAGGCTGGTCACGTAGAGCAGCAGGAAGAGAGGGAAGAGGAAATGATTCAGCCCTGGGAGATTCGTCAGGCCTAAGAGGACAAACTCGCGCATCTCCGTATGGTTCTTCATTGATGAGGATGGGAGGGAGATGTGCTAGAGCAGAAAGAGATGCACAAATCATTGTAATTTGTATTTCAACAAGCACCCTCCACCCAAGGTCTCAGAGTGCCTGCCAGTCATTCATTAAACCTTCCCAGTCCTCCTATGGGTTAACATCTCCGTTTTATAGTCTGGGAAATGTCAGTAGAGAGGGGCAATGTATCATCTGTATGCCTATATCTATAAAATGCTATTCGGTTGTAAATTTAAGCACTTGATAGTAAGGAAATGCCAGATCATCTACAGCTCCCCGTGCAACTGTCATTCTACCCCTCGTGCATCCATCCCATGCACTGAACAAAGCAAGGTTCTTGGGCAAGAAACCAGTATATGTTAATGTGATTAAATCCCATAGCATAACGCATATGAAAAAAGAGGCTGAATTAAGGTTGCAACGACAACTGTAAAGCTGGCATTTTCTAACTGCCAAAAGTAGAATTTGACTTTGAAATGTAAATGATATTCTTGTACGTAGGGGTTGGTTTTTTTGCATAATTCTCTTAGGTGCAGCAAAAATAAAGATAATCAGTTCTGGCTTACCCCTGAGCCATGCCGCAACGATTTCTGCCACTTAATCAACAGGTATGATTACGTTAGCTTGTGTCAGAAGAAGGGTCTTATAGATAGAGCCCTACCAAATCCATGGGCTATTATGGTCAATTTCACGGCCATAGGATTTGAAAATTGGTAAATGTTACGTTTTCAGCTGTTTAATCTGAAATTTCACTGTGTTGTAACCATGAGGGTCCCAACCCAAAAGGGGATTGTGTGTGTGTGTGGTGGTGCGGGGGGTGTTGCAAACCTGTTGTAGAGGGGTCATGGGATTGCCATCCTCACTTCTATGCTGCCTTCAGAGCTAGACTGTGAAGGCAGCAATCACAAAGCTTCCCTGCAGCTGCAGGAGGTTCTCAGAGGTGGAGTGCTGTCCCTCCCATGCCCAGCCAGATCTGGGAGCCCCCATTGTTGGGGCACTCCCAGCACCACAGGAAAGATTGGACACAACTGCACAAGTCTCCTCCAGCTACAGGAATGTCTGGGGCTGCTGCCCAGAGAGCGTCCTGCAGCAGGCACCTGGAGGTGGTTCTGATCTCCCCCGCAAAGGCAGCTGTGAAGGAGAGGGACAAGTCCTGCCCCACCCTGCCCAGCTGGAGATAGGGGCCCCCTTTGCTGGGACGCTCCTAGGAACAAGGGAACATTGGAATACATGTGGAATGGCTTATTTCATGGTCCATGATGCATTTTTCACATCCGTGAAATAGGGCCCTACTTATAGAAGAGGGCAGGGGCATAGAGAGATGAGGCCAAGTGGTTGGTCTTAGAGATGGCCAGGGGAACCCCAGCTCATATCGCCTTCTTTCTGCCCTTCCATCCCCCAATGTTCCAGAAGCAATTGGCTATTCCATTACCTCATGTGTTGCTGTTTCCAAAAGTCACTACTCATATCTTCTGTTCAGCATCCAACTGAAAATAGAATGAAACAGAGAAAATGGAGTGAGTGAGAGAGGAGTGAAAAAAAAACCGAAAAATATGAACTGTAAGAAAGAAAGGGAGAAAAAAAGGAGGAAAGAATAATAATATCAGAGTCTGAGAACATGCTGATGTTTTCCGTTTGTAGATAAAGAAGAGTGAATTGTTATAAGCTCTTCAGTTCCTGAGTAAACTGGGTTCCTCCTGAAGATAAAATATTATAACAATGTAGGACAAAATCCACCCTATGGGAATCTTAAGAGAGGATCAAACACTAATTGCTCTGGAAACCTTGATGACTGTGAACAGAGAGACCTTTTTAACACAGTCACATTCTCTGAAACACCACATTGTGAGCAGGGAAATTGCCTTCCATCTGACAGCTCTCCTGGGATGTAATTCTTGTACCACCTGAGAATTTGAAGTTAGAAAACAAACAAGACCAACACTTCCTGGAAAGATGGAGGTTGACAATATTGTGAGGACTAGAGTTTGTTGAAAAGCATAAAGAAGAGCCACTGATCTATAAATGTTTCCACTAGCAAGTCCACTCAATTTTTGTAACCAGTATTTGCGTAGTGAAGTGGTTCTGTGTGAGAGATTGGGAAACACCCCATCAATGACAGGTTTCAGATAGCAGCCATGTTAGTTTGTATCCGCAAAAAGAAAAGGACTACTTGTGGCATCTTAGAGACTAACAAATTTATCTGAGCATAAGCTTTTGTGACCTACAGCTCACCCCATCAATGGATACCATAAGTGAGGTATAGGCATCTGAATAGAACTGAACAAGGCAAAATCTGGCTCCAGAGCTCAGGGGCTTGAGCACATTTCCAAAGGTATTTAGGCACCTAAGGATGCAGATAGATACCTAATATGATTTGCACAATCACCTAAATGAGTTAGGCACCTAACACCTATTGAGCTAACTTAACTTTGGTACCTGGAAAAATAAAGGAGCAAATAATCAAACCATCAATTTGTAAGCACCTAAAAGAAAATAAGGTGACAAGTTACAATCAGCATGATTTTGTCAAGAACAAATGGTGTCAAACCAGCCTAATATCCTTCAACAGAGTAACAAGCCTTGTGGCTGGGGGAAAGCAACAGATGTGAGATACCTCAACTTTACTAAGGCTTTTGATACTGTCTCACAATACAGTCTAGATGAACCTACTATACCGTAGGTGCACAAATGGTTGGGCAACCATACTCAGAGAGTAGTTATCAGTGGTTCATTGTCAAGCTGGAAGGGTATATCGAGTGGGGTCCCACAGGGATCTCTCCTGGGTCCAGTTCTATTCAATATCCTCATAAATTATTTAGATAACAGCAAAGAGAGTACACTTATAAAGTTTCCAGATGATACCAAGCTGAGACGTTGCAAGAGCTTTGGAGGATATGATTAGAATTCAAAATGTTCTTGACAAACTGGAGAAATGATCTTAAATACATAGGGTGAAATTCAATAAGGAAAAATGCAAAGTACTCCACTTATGAAAGAAAAATGAAATGCACATTTACAGTTGGGAAACTATTGCTTAGGAAGGAGTACTGTAGAAAAGGAACTGGGTGTTATAGTCAGTGTTCCCTCTAATTTTTCCCACCCATGTGAGGCATGAATTTTGTTATGTGCCCGAATATGGAGGTGATGTGCGACACATCACCTTCATATTGGGGCACATAACAAAATTCATGTGGTGGGGGTGGGGCTGAGGGGTTCAGAGTGTGAGAGGGGGCTCAGGGCTGGGGCAGAGGGTTGGAGTGCATGGGGTGAGGGCTCTGGCTGGGGGTGTGGGCCATGGGATGGTGCCAAGGATGAGGGGTTTGGGGTGCAGGCGGGTGCTCAGTGGCTATGGCGGGAGAGATGACTCCCCTCAGGTCTCTTTCCCTGCAGCAGCACCTGGGCCTCATCATGGCAGCTCTGGGGCTGGAAGATAGGTGCCCCTTCCTCGGCCCCAGCAGGTCGTGGCTGGGTCCAGGCCTCCCTGGATGCACTGGCCAGCAGGTTCAGATGCCCGTACGTGGCTGGATCCAGGACGCTCCGGCCATGCTTGGGGCCGGTCTGGGCCGTGCCGCAGCAGAGTTGGGGCCAGGGGAAGGGCGCCCCTCCCCCGGCAGCGGCAGGTCCCCCGTCAAGTACCTTGAGCGCCTGTGCGGAGTTAAATAGGCTGTGTCACCACCGTGTGGTCACGCAGCTTACAGGGAACTTAGGTTATAGTGGATCACAAAGTAAATGTGAGTCAACAATGTAATACTGTTGCAAAAAAAGTGAACCTCATTCTGAGATGTATGTAAGCAAGATGCAAGCAAATTCTTCCACTCTATTCAACATTGATAAGGCCTCAGCAGGAGTACTGAGTCCAGTTCTGGGCACCACACTTCAGGAAAGATGGGGGCAAATTGGAGAAAGTCCAGAGGAAAGCAATAAACAAGATTAAATGTCTACAAAATATGACCTATCATTGAAAAAAATGTTTTTTTTTTAGTCTGGAGAAGAGAAGCCTGAGGGGGTACATGATAACAATCTTCAAGTACATAAGAGGTCGTTATAAAGAGGAGAATGATAAATTGTTGTCCTGAACCACTGAGGACAAGATAAGGACTAATCGGGCTTCAACTATAGCAAGGTTGATTTAGTTTAGACATTAGAAAAAACTTCCTGACTGTAAAGATAACGAAGCACTGGAACAAATTAACTAGTGAAGTTGTGGAATCTCCATCACTGGAGGTTTTAAAGAACAGGTTGGACAAACACCTGTCAGGGATGGTCTAGATAATACTTAGCACTGCTTCAGTGCAGGGGACTAGATTAGGCCTATTCCAGTCCAACATTTCGGTGCTTCTCTGATGCAGTGCTATGGCCCACTATTGTGGCGGTTATGCTGCATGGCAAAGTTGATGTGTTCCTATTGCCTTTATTAACAGAGCAGTATCTTTTAGCCATGCAACAGAATCTTGTGCTTTTCTATCCCAAGGTCCTAGGTTTGATTCTTGATGCTGACATTTCCAGCTGAAAATTGAGATTTGCTTTTCTGATGAAAAAATCAACATTTTTTTTTAAAGAAAAGCCAATCCTTTCATAGAAAACATAGAAGTGTAGGACTGGAAGAGCTCTCAAGGGGTCATGTAGGCCAGCTCCCCACCCCATGCTGAGGCAGGACCATGTAAATGAAGGCAATTCCTGACAGGTGTGTGTCTAGTCTATTTTTAGAAACCTCCAATGACAGGGATTCCACAGCTTCCTATGGTAACCTGTTCCAGAGCTTAACTAGCCATAGAGTTAGAAACTTTTTCCTAATATCTAACCTAAATCTCCCTTCCTACAAACTAAGCCAATTCCTTCTCATCCTACCCCCAGTGGACATGCAGAACAATTTATCACTATCCTCTTTATAGCCACCTTTTACATATTTGAAGACTCTGAACTAGTGCTGTTGATTAATTGCAATTAACTCAAAAAAATTAAGTACGATTAAAAAAATAGACATGACACTGCTGTTAATACACTG